GTGGAGAAATTGAATATTGAACCACTTGTTAACAAGTATGTAATACTAGCTGTCGCCCGTAACTCCATCATCGCGGAATTAAAAAAAAGCTTAGTTAGTAGCCTATGTGTTCTTCGAGAATATGCTCTATATCCCTGCCAAATTTCATTGAGATTCCTTCAGCCGTTCTGGAGATACCATCAAACAAACATCCATCCATCTAAACTAAGCCCTTCCTAACAGTGCAAGAATTTTTCAAATCTGTTTTGTAGTTTCGGACCCTATGCAATGCAAACAATCGAATCTTTTTTCTTTATAATATTAGTAGTAATTTTTCACGTTTAGAAATTCTAATATATTTTAGGTACAGATGTCCAACATTAGTCGAATCTTATACAGCTTATCCAACAGAAGCTAAATCTAAAAAAACAAAAATAGATCCCGGATTACGTAAAGGGTACCATTGGCTTTTAAATTATATTGTACGTAGATACGGTGATATTAATTTACGTGTACAAACAGATATACACGCTGACTTAGAGAGACGTAAACGTTTACTAAATAGGGCTGCTAATCGTACATCACAGACGTTTACAGCTGAAAGTGATGTGGGTACACAAACAGGTTTTGAAAACCCTAATTTCGATCCCCATAGAGTAGATAGAGAGAAAGATCTAGAAAGTGGTGTTATTGTGGTTAAACCAATTGGAGTTAAACCAAATAGTTTGGATACGACAATCACCGTGGAAAGTGTCGATACTGATACGAGTGGTAAACCTAAATTATCGCCATTATTTGGACGTAGCAGTAATAGTACGGTTAATGAAACTGTGCGGATAGAATTGGAACCGAGACATGAATTTAGAAAATTATCTCCGATTGTCCGGAAGAAGAGTGCTGGATCACAGCCTTTTTATTTCAAGAACAGACCACATTCCAGTCCGACGACGAAGAAAATTAAGGTGAGTGGAAATTAACCTTTCAAAGTTTCAGTACGAAACATAGTTGTCTCTCTCATTCTATTTGAAAAAAGAGAGAGATGACAATATTCTAATGTGATGTTTCAGCAAAGATATTTAAGGTGACAAAAGAGTACTTCTTTTTTTTTGTCACGTCCCCGAATGCATTATATTTACAACGTTACTTTCATGTTGATAAACTAAATTTCAATATGTTAATCGAAGTACTGGGAATCTTTTATGGAATTAAAAAAAAGGGTCTCGACAGACAGACGGACGGACAACAAAGTGATCCTATAAGGTTTCCGTTTTTCCTATGAGGTACGGAACCCTAAACCTCTCTGTTCCTCCAACGCATCGGGACGGGACCACGAGCACGCTTTCGCTCTCGTCCGCGGCCCCGTCTGCGCCAGCTGCCGAGGCTGCTCCCTCACGGGGGGAGGCCGCCCTCAATGGCGGGCAATGGACATCCCCGCATCCATTACCCGAGGGCTATCGTGGGGGGGGGGG